AATTATATAATAATATAAATAGCATCACATATTTTGTTATTCTTATAATCCTTTAGCAAGTTTTCCATTTGCATTTTGATATCGTGTAGGTCATTCTATTGTTATATAAAACTTTTAAAACTAGTTCAATATAAAAATTCTTCATGAGTTCTTTCTTTTTGTGAAATCCTGAGAAAGTGTTTGTAAATCTTAAGATCAATGAAAAACTTATGCACGTTTTCTCCATTAGTTATGATTTTAAAAGTAAATTTATCTCATTACTTCATCTGAAAATTGTTTTAGAATTTAATACATATGTGTCAATATAAGTGGTTTCTCAAATGCAATATGTCTGCTTCAAGTTTTTTTTTATTCTTTGGCTTTTTAACTACACAAGACTAAATTATTTTAATTGTTGTAGCATTGTACATGTTAGTAACTTGTAGGCAAGCACTATATACTTTACTGGTATTTGATTAGCTCTATGAAATGACATTTTAAAGATAAAACAAGTATGATGTATGATTACTTCTTGGCTGTCATTAAGTCATTGTACTTTTATACACATGTAGTAGCTGTCTCTGGAGCAGAAGACACCACTTACCCTTGACAAAGCTATAAATCATTATAACTAAAATTATATAGATATAGAAATCAACCATTTGGATATTGTCTATGATGGCCATAACTTAGTTTATTCTTCTTTTTTTTTTCTTTTTGGTAAATGTATCATGCTAATATTGATACACTGGGAAGATTCCTGGCCAAAGGAAGGTGATAGTATAGAAAGTGGTGTTGAAATTCCTTGGCAATTTTTGAGAAACTGCAGTATTTCCATATCTACCAATCACTTAGAATTATACACCTATGACTTTCTAATTTTATATTATTTATTTTTCCCCTACCACTTGAATTTGGCAACTGCCACTCAGAGAAGCTTGAGATTTCAGTAATGTGACAAATGTTTCTAACCAATGTTAACATTACACATCATTTTGCACATAATTACCTTGTGAAGTCTGTCATTTCCATCATAATCATACACATCTTCTTGGCGAGAACAATGATATCGTTGCTTGTATCATCCCATATCTCAATCTCAGCATCCAACTTACTCTTTACTTTCTTGAAATCAGCAACTTGCTCAGCAATCTTTTCCTTTTCTGCCTCAGGCAGTTGAGTCATCTTAGCCTAAAAAAGATGATAATTAGATTTAAAATCATTCTCCTATGTAGGAAATATTTTTGCAAGAAGTGGTCATTATATTGTAACCATAAAACATATTCATTTAAAATCAGAGATATTTCATAGTTTAAGTCATTTAATCAAAACTTTCCTGTTTTATTTTTTCAAATAAAAATCTATTTAATATTAAAATATGACTATTAATATTAATACTAATAGTTCATTTCAATTATAACAATTTCACTTGAAATGAAACCATGTCTGTCTATATGTGCATATATGATTTGGTAGATCCTTACAATATTACTGCGAATACATTAAAAACAATAATGGTGTGCATTTATAAATCACATATACATAAAGCAAATATAAAGATCACAATGACGTAGATGTATATATAACATATAAATATATTCAGGTCTATATATGTATTTAAACTGTTATGGGAAAGAACAAGAACCTTATGGACAAGGTTTATTCAGGCACAGCCCCCTAATTATCATACTGAATATTGAGTTGCTATTCTTCCCTGTACAGTAAATTTAATGTGTTTAGGCATGATATGGATTCTTTGGATATGTTATATTTTAAACCAAATGCAAACTGTATCTTTCTTTCACAATGTGTGATGCAGGATGTGTAGAAAATATCCTATATCCCTAAACAATCATATTCACAACCTTAGCACCTGGAGCCTATTACATTTTGTCAAATAAAAAATAATCTTGAAGTAAAAATTATTTGATAATCTGAAGATTATAATATTTCATGAGATCGTCCATGTAATGGTGTCATTGAAAAGAAATTTCAGCTCAAAGGTACAGTCTAGTAGTAGGGTAAGTAAATAAGTCTGAGAAGAAAATTGTTGGAATGAATAGATCATGTAAATGGGATTCATTTATTAGATTATTCACATAGAATATGTGATGCATGCAATATCTATCTATGTATTTCTAGATATTAGTGTATAGGACACCTATAGATGAAGGTACAAGTAGAAATCTCCTAAAAAACTGAAATATTCTGGATAAAAGCTCCAGAATGGTGAAAATATACTTTACCAAATCAATAGTATACAATAGCAAAATACCTAAACATATGAAGGAAAACAATTATAAGAATGGTCAACAAAATCCAAACAAAAAATAAAGGTAAAGAAATCAGTGCCAATTTCCTGTCCTTTATTGTCTGTTTATCACAAGCCTAACCCAGGGTCTAAAATCACTTGGTGTCTGTAAAAATCTCCAAATTAACTAACCATGCCTAATTCTAACAAATTAAAGTAAATAAATAATGAAGCTTCTTGATTTGAAATGTCCTTTAAATTCCTTAGAATAATGCTTGACACATACTGAATGTCCAATAAATGACAGCTATTTCTTATTCCATAGGAAAATTATAAAAATAAATTCATATTCTAGCTCTTATTTTTAAAATTTATTTAATTTTCTTTGTAGGAGCAAATTAAGTGCATGAAACTTTTTAATTAATGAGCTACACACGTTCTTTTCTTTACTGTCTGAAAATAGTTCATGTTTTTCTTTTCCTCTCAAGAAATGTGCCCTATGCAAAGAGTTGAAAGAAGAGTAACTTTTACTACTGCCGGCATATGGTGCTGCACATAAATGAAGACACAGCTCACTACTTCTGAAATCAGAAGTAATATGCAAGCATGTTAAGTAAATTATAAGCTATCAACCCACTAAACTAGCTCAAAAATAGAAATGAGGTTTATCTAGGGCCTCTTTTCATACTCTTATTAAAGAGATAATAAAATTTTGACGCTGGTTCTAATAAAAAATATGGAGATATAAAATAGTATTTTCTGGAAAATTACTAACTTCATACTAAAGTTAAAATCACTCAAGAGGTGATCTGGTTAAATGTATCCTAAGTTCTGTTGCTTGGATGCCAGTGATGTCCTATGTGACCTTGAATAACTCTTAATCCTTCTGTTTGTTTCCCTAGATACAAAATGACAATTCCAACTGCTACCCACATGCCCTGTAGGGAACAGAGTTGATTGCTGGATAACATTGAGGCTGACCCTGTCATGGACAGGCAGCTCATCGGTCGCACTCCATTTCCTTAATAACATCGCAATACACACGATGAATTACAATCAATAGACGTTTATCTCTGACAAGATAAGGGTCAAAAGATGGGCAATAGTTTGAAAAATTAAAACTTCTCCAGAATTCTAGTTCTTTTTCACAGTAGAACAACAATGAAACATTAAGTTACTAAGTGACACCTCTACTGAAGGTTTTAAGTACTTCTATGAATAATTTATTATATGCCATCAATCAATTTCAATGGCTATGAAACTTTCAAAATAAGATTCAAGACAGTACTTCTAGCAAAAATTCCTTATTGAATTATTTTACTCAAGATAAGAAAGGAATAGGTGAAACAAGAATTAACTATTAGTCACTGGGGATTTAGCTCAGTGGTTTCTCTCCCTGCTGTGCAAACACAAGGACCCAAGTTCAATTCCCGGTACCAAAAAAAAAAAGAATTAACTATTAGTATCAGGCTCATATTATCGAATAGTTAGTTATATCTTAAGGTATTAATGATGTTAATTAGTAATTGTTAATGCCTCTCATACAGCAGTCACCACTAGGTGCTTTCAAAAATTTATCTCAATTAGCTGGACATAGTGGTGCATATCTGTAATCCCAGCTTTTGGGGGCCTGAGGCAGGAGGATCGCTGTGAGTTTGAAGCCAGCCTGGGCTACACAGTGAGTTCAAGGCCAGCCTGAACTACTTAATGAGACCTGGTCTTTAACAAAACAAAACAAAACAAAATATTTCATTTAAATAATAATGGTATAAAGTACAAATTACTAATATATCTAGATGTGACAATTATCAGTATTAGATCCATAGAGGACACATACATCCCTTCTATAAAGAAGATCCTCTCCAATTCTTTTTCTTTTATACCAGAAATAGTGATATTTGATCTGTGAGCCAAATTTGTATCAAACTTGGCAGAAAAAAGGCTGAAAAGCACATGTAGGAGACAACTAGAGAGATTTAATATAGATTGGGTAGAAGATAATCATAAATTTTATGTAGTGTGATGATGATATTGTGGTTCTATTAATGGAGAATAGAAGAAATAAAAACTAGGCAAAAAGGAGATGAAATCCTGATTTTCAAAATGAAAGCTGCAATTTCAGTACACATCCAGTTCTTTCCTTTCTTCCTTTCCTTTCTTTCCTCCCTCCTCCCCTCCTCTTTCTTTCTTTCTTCTCTTCTCCCAGAATACAATAAGCCTGGACAATTCCCTTTTACATGCCAAAAGATTCCTTAATTTTATTCAAAAGGCTGCCTTTGCAACATGACTCAGAGCCTTCTAACTTTTACTCTGTACACAAAATAAGAAAATTTAGTTACCTGAATTTTATGCTCCAGAGTACATTAAAGTTGTTGGAAGTAGACAGGAGGTTTCATAGACTGGCCACAAGGATGGAGAGGACAATCAAAGAGAAACATGACTCTTAGATAAGGGGGATCTGTCTGTTCATGAATAAGTTTTCATGCTTATGTGAGGACACACTCATCTTGTCATTGTATTACAGCATGGCAGAGTTTTGTTAGGTCATAATACTGACACAACTTATCTACAACATCATCACTCAGCCAGAATTTGTGGATGTCTACTGCATAATAGAATTATATTGCCCAACTTCTTTCAAGGAGTTTGAAATATCCTCATGCAGAAAAGATCAAATTATATTTAGAACTTTTTAGTTGGTAAGGAATATAATTTGAAAACAAATTCTCTGAATATTTTTGTCATTTAAATCTTGAAAAGGAGCATGACTAGTATGCCACAAAATAGGTATAATTATAGAAAGAATTATGTCTATAGTTTCTATGCATATTTTCTTCTTAATAATATTTTGCAATGAATATAATTTTATAAAATATACAATGGATACAATAATAACAAATTTATCTTCCAATAGTAGGAATCTAAACATTTCATTTTATCTAAACATTTTTCTTGCTAAAATAATAATTTCAGGAATATAATATAAATTAAAGTATGTATATATGTAATATGTACATGTTAACATTTAATATAGTAAAATAATTAACAGCCTGAATAAATGTGCTGCTGATCATAGTTCCTTTATCTTAAAAGTGGGTATAATACCCATAGTTATACCCACATGCAAAGAATATGCAAAATCTATTTTCATTACATTATTATAATTATGTATATATTGACCAAATAAAAATGAACATTTACATTTTTTGTATAATGTATGAATTATTTACCATTTGTAAAAGAAAACAGTTGTATATCAAATTAGAATCTTAATAAATATTATTTCTTTTTACAACATGGCTGGATAATTATCTGTATTTCTATTACTTTTTAATTTAAGACCACTGTTTGTTCCCATATTTTGAAATTTAAATGAATCAGAATCAGTCTTCTTACCTTTCATTCTTTGGAAAGTCCCTCAAAGACTTTTTAAATTTTGGAGGATTTATATCCCTTTAACCTACATTTTTTAAATGCACATATCTGCCTTCATTGACTTATTTCTTTCATTTAAGACTTATCCATGACTATTACTTTCTCACTTATTGTCTTGATATGACATCCTAAAATCTTCAGAAATATGTGTCATTTGTGTATATGGGAAAATTTATAAATGTATTGACAGTTAACAAGGGGATTTTACAAATTTGCACTGAAAATAACTTAAAATTATTTAATTATCATTAAAATACAATTTTTACTTAAAACACATTTCTGATTGGGAAAAAAAGTGCAGTTCATTGCCAGTGTTCATTTAATTTTCAGCGATGGAAAATTACTAAATTGTATAAATTGAAATACCATTGCTAAAAAAAGAGTGCTGTAAATAGAATGATGTCTTTTGCTTTCAAGACTACTGATATACTACAATGATGTGAAAATAATAATAAAAGTGAAATACCTTATGGCAAACTTTGAAAGTAAGGTTAGGACAATAATC